TGTTAAAAGAAATTTACAGCATAATCAAAAGAAAACCCACAAATTAGTAAAAAATCTTAGTGAATGTTCCCTCAGACAAAGGTTTTCAGTTTAGAACATATATGGAATTTTTAAAAAATTCACATCCCTGAAATCCAAAGACTCAATCCAAAAATGTGCCTCTGAGATGAATACACAGTTCTCAGATGAAGAGCTACAAATGGCAAATAAATAAATAAATAAATGTTCAGCATCATTGGTCATGAGAGAAATGCAAATTAAAACAGCACTGAGGTTCCCATCTCATTCCAGAAAGAGTGGCCAGGAAAAAGAAAACTACCAACAACAAATCCTGGACAGGCTGTGGGTAAAAGAAACTATTCTGCACTGTTGGTAGGAGTGCAGAATGGTGCAACCACTGTGGAGGTCCATCTGGAGGTTTCTCAAAAAGCTGGGATTTGAAGTCCTATTTGACCCAGCTGTTCCCCTTCTGGGTATATCCCTAGAAGAACTGATAACATCATACTACAGTGATACATGTGCACTCATGTTTATACCAGCACAATTTGTAACTGCCAAATCTTGGAAACAACCTAAATGCCCATCAACTGAGAAATGGATAAAAAAAGTTGTGGTGCTTTTATACAATGGAGAGTCACTCAGCTATAAAGGATGATCACATTGATATACTTATAAGTAAATGGATGTAAATTGACACCATACTCATCAGTGAAATAAATTACACTCACATGTGTAAATACTGTATTATCTCCATAGTGCAAGAAATGGTAAGAGTACATAACATACAAAATTCTCAGTAAATACAGTTTAATGTTTAGAATTTGCTTAAAGGGGACAATAATATCTCAGGGAAAATTAAAAAGAAAAAGGATGGAAAAAGTAAAAAATATCTAAAATTAATAAACACAATTAGGATAGATAAGATGATTGTGCTATAAATTTTCTAAGTTCTTGGAACAGAAAGTTAACATTCATAGGATTGGAATAATTGTGCACATTATTGTATGATGATTTGAGGAACTCTTGAGGTTCATTATGTAAAATAACAAGCCTAGTTATGCTACTGCTACCTTGTGTTGAAGGCCTATAGTGGCAGTTTTTTGGGCTCTTTGCAATTGTTATTCATTTGTCTTTTTTGTTTCATGTTTTTCTAGAATTTTGTTTTGTTTTTTTCCCTCGAATACAGAAATGAGAAATAAACATGTAGAGACTCATGCATGCATAGAACTTCTCTTAAACGGTGTATGAAAATTGATTATATAATGTATGATGAAATGAACAGCTACTTTGAAGAAAAGGAGACATCATGGCACCCAGTACTGATTCCCATAGCATTATGCTGTGAAGTTAAGCAACACTATTATCCTTTGTTCAGTAAGATTTTAGTCTGATTTTTAAAAAAAATTTCAACATAATTGAAGGTATGGACAGCTATTTTGAATAGAACAAGAGACATTATGGCAGCCATTGTTCATTTCCCTATTGTCTAGTTTTTTTGTTTTGTTTTTTATTGGTACCAGGGATCGAACTCATGACTGCCTGATTGCAAGGCAGGTTCTTATGCTGCTGAGCTAAATCCCCAGCCCCTCTATTGTCTAGTTTTGAAGGCCTACAATACCTTCATCATTTTGCTCTGATTGGTTTAGTACTATTTTGTTTTGTATGAATTCATTGTATGTGAAGATATGGACAAATATTTAGAAGAGAACAAGAGACAATATGATAGCCAGTGATGTTCTCCTTGTGTCTTGCTTTGAAATCTGTGTCACTAACATAGTTTCCTTCTGATCTGATTTATTCTGTCTTGTTATGTTTAGTTTTACCCTCTTTAAAACAAACCTTAAAAAAAGAGAGAAATGAAAAATTCACCTAAATTCATGCAGCCTCTTAGGAGCAGAACTGAGCCACGAATGTAAATCTCTTAATTACAGACTTAAAGGTGTTCTATTTTCCTAAGATACTATGATAGTATCATAAGATCTCATAGCTTAGGAACAGAGCAGCTAATAAAACTAGAAGCTGAGTGACAGTCTTAATGTCTTTCCTTGAGGCTCAGAGTAAGGAAACTCATTGAAATTGCCCGGTGTACCAGATAGCTATATTACTAAACTGGATTCCTTAGGATCATAAATCATAAAAGTGACTGACCACTCCACCATACAAACTACCAAAATGGCACTAGATGTTTTATTTTGCATTTGACCCCATATGCCTCACATGTAATATCAGGATGAATTAGGCCTTTGTTTTAAATTTTGACCATATAAAGTTACATCTTAACTTGAACTATGTTTCCATTGAATAATCACAAACTTGAGTTTTGTCAAAATGAACAAATAACCTGGACATTTGAAGCAGTAGATGATTTCACTTGTATTAGAAATAACTGAATAATAAAAGATCACTGAGAGCTGTTTGTTTTTGCAAGGAATGAGGGTAACGTTTGAAGAATACAAAGCTTCAGGGAAAATAATGTCTATTTTCTATTTGGTCTTCTAGTATATCTATGGGAAATGTAACTAAAATACAAAATTTATTTCAAAGCCTACATTTTGTATCTTTAAAATTTGATTCACACCTATTGATATTTGTAGACTAATATCAATAAATATGTTCAACTTGCCAAAAAATGTCTTAGTGGGTTGGTAGCATAGATATGTATAGACTTGACAACAGGAAGAGGTATGTGTTCATTCAATCAACAAATATTTATTATGAAAATGAGTTATCAGTGAACCCCAGAAAATAAATCCAGTACTTCATAGTTTACAGTCTAAGACAGGAGACAAACAGAACAAGCAGATCTATAAATACACAGAATATCAGGAGTTATATGTGTTTGAAAAAGTTATCCTTTAAGGAGTGTGCTTAATGTTACCCAGTGAAGGACGTATTCCGAGATGGCCAAAGACTGAGATGAAGAATCTTGTACTCAGTGATACATAAGGAACTCAGTGTGACTGAAAAGGAAGGGGTGAGTGAGGAGCATTTTCAAAGATGACCGTGACATATATGCTATTACCAGTTTACGAACAAGCAGCTTTTATGTTACTTACATATTAAAACAACAGTATTCCTGGATTATTACATTTTTTAGTTGGACATAAGAATTTTGCTATCAGTTTAAATTACAGGAGTAATTTTTAAAGTCACAATTTGTATATTGATGATGCTCATGAAACTGCTTTGAATAACTTCAGTAACTACAATCTGATTTATGTGAATACAAGCCACAGCTTAAGCACTGAAAACATTGGAACATGCTTTGGAGTGCTTAAGCAAAGTCAAGAGAAAAACCTTGAAAGCTAAAATAATGAGCATTATTTTGAGAAAAGTTTGCAAAGTTTTGCTCTTTAATACAAAGAGAGGAAAAGTAAGGGTAGGTGTCTCTCAATATCGGCTTGTCATTCTGATGAATATTATAATATTTCTCCTTTTATTGTTACCAGAGTTCACAGTGATATCTTGAGAGCTAAAATAATAAAAATATATTTGCATTTGAGTATAAGACGCAAGATACAAGAAACTGTGTTGGACACAAAAATTGCATCAGAGCACTGTGTTATTTAAATTTATTTCAAATTTTGGGTTCACAGATTCATAAGGTAAATGGCCCTAATTCATCTAGCTAGTACTAGAGATATGTAATTTACCAAATATCGAAAGTCACAGGAAAGTAAAAGGACATTAAGCAACAATTTACTGCTTTGAGGACAGACATACGTTGGAAATATAAGAGAAAGAGTGAGAATGGTCTTTAGCACGTAATTTGCTAGAAAATTTGTCTTACAAAACACACACACTCATTGCAGGTTACGTTTTAGACCCTAATCTTCATCTGTAATTAACTTACCCAAAGGAGGTAAAGAAATCTTATCTGTCTTCTGCCTCATTTGTTCTGAGGGGAAAAATGAATAAAATACACTTATTAACTTTGGAGTTGGCATTTAAGCAAAGAACATCATGTCACTTAGTATTTTATTAGTTTTTATAGAATAAGATAAATTAAAATTTTACTATAAATAAATATATTACAGAAGAAACCTGAAAATCTAAGTATAATAAGTCTTAACTGTGGCAATGATATATAAAAGGTATCTAAATTTAAGTGGTCTCTTGATTGATCATTGTTTAAATAGAATTCATTTCAGATCAGTAGGCAAAGTCAAAGGAAAAGGAAATCAACAAGTAAATTGCAGCGTGATCTTTTAAAATCTTGGTAATTTCTGGAACCTCTGTTCACTCTTGTCTAAAGGGGGAGAGGGTGATTACATACAATAATTTAGTGTGGTGTTACTAAAATGGTATCACTGCAGAGCTCCCTTTTACTGTTGTGGAATAAAAAAATAATCATTGTTCCTTCATTTGAAATTTCCTCCACTTTCATTGATTAGAATGGATGAAGAGATTACCTGGCACAAGAGGAATTCACCCAAAGAAGATCACTTAGCATCTCTAAGTAAATATAACAAGGATCATATCAGGTAGCCCATGAAGACTGACCAACACAGAGTCAGGCCATAAATGAACACTCTCAGCTAAGGAGGTGCAGGTGGTCAGAGTTCTGTCCGTCCTGTGCTGCTTTGCATCAGTCACAGAGATCAGCACCCTTTGTATGGTCACTTTCTCATCTACATAGATGCAGCAACTCTATTCCAAAAGCAATATGATCTTAAACTACTCATGGAGACCTTAGAATGAATGGTAGGTCTTTGATAACTTACTTTTCAGTTCTTTCATGTATTTAAGTTTCTGATGAAATATGAAATTCAACTCCAATTTAGATATAATATCCACTTACCATCTCACGTGTTCCCCCTAATATAAAAGTAAAAACACCTTCTTATAGTCACAGGAAGACTATTTCTATAAATATACAGTAACACATTTTCTACAAAGGAAATCCCATAAAGTTTTCATCTAAATATCTTTTGACTTCCTTACACCTGACTCTATTGTTTAGAAAGGAATAAAATTTATTTTTCACTGGAAACTCCCTCTCATCTGTTCCAAACTTTCCTTATAGCATTTTTCACATCCTTATTCCTAAAAGTATAAATCAGTGGGTTGAGCAATGGAGTTAGCATGGTGTAAAAAATGGCCACCATTTTGTCAAAGGAGAAGGCAGCTGGAGGTCTTGCATATATAAAAATGCACGGGATGAAGAACAAAACCACAACAGCAATGTGGGATCCGCAGGTGGACAGAGCCTTCCTCTGCCCTTCAGAACTGTGCTTCCTCAGGGAGAACAAGATGACACCATAGGAGACAAGCAACAAGGAGAATATGACAATGCAGAAGGACCCACTGTTGGCAACCACTAAAAGGCCAAAGATGTGTGTGTCAGTGCAGGCCAGCTTCAGTAATGGGTACAAGTCACACATGAAGTGGTCAATGACATTGGGGCCACAAAACGGGAGCTGGAAAGTGAAGAGAATTTGGATGACAGAATGTAAGAAGCCACCTGTCCAGGCTATGCCCATCAGAACATGACAGAGCCTCCTGCTCATGATGGAAGAGTAGTGTAAAGGCTTGCAAATGGCCACGTAGCGGTCATAGGCCATAGCAGTGAGGACAATCACCTCCACCCCTGCAAGGAAGTGTTCAGCAAAGAGCTGCATCATGCAGCCTTCAAAGGAGATGGTTTTCCTCTCATGGAGGGAGTCAACAATCATCTTTGGTGTGATGACAGAAGAGAAGCAGGCATCCAGGAAGGACAGGAAAGCCAAGAAGAAGTACATGGGCGAGCCCAGCAGGGCAGGGCTGCAGATGATGGTCACCACAATCAGCATGTTGCTGCCAATAGTTGCAGTGTAGACAAACAAAAATAAAACAAACACTATTTTCTGAATATTTGGATTCTGAGAAAGCCCCAGGAGTACAAATTCGGTCACAAAGCTGTGGTTCTGCATGATTTCTGAAAGAAAAGTGAAAATATAAAACAATGATCATATAAATCTGAAATTATTATTAAGCATTACTTCAAACACTTTTGCAATTGTACAGTCATAAATTCATACATAATTTTTAAAAATTTCTTGAGAATGTTTATCATCACTGAAAATAAAAATTAGAAATTTGTTCAAGTTCATAGCCAGGGATCAGACAGAATTCGGAAGTATATGAATTACTAAATACGTAAAAAGAATCAGTTTTTCAAAGACAATTAGGTTTCTTTGTATCTCTGACATCTAATTATTGTCCATTGGCCTCCTGATATCAATTACTGAAAGGCATCCTGAAGCTACACTCAGGATATGAGTAAGGAAAGATTGTTATTTATTGATCGTATCTATCATTGCCATGGACCGCTAGTCTACCATCCTTGCTAAGAGCACTGTTTTATCTACCATCAGGAAACAAAGTAAAAGGTGGTTTAAAAGAACTAGAAACTTACGGTTTCTTTTAACAAATATCTTTGAAGCCTTTAAAAAGGTTGAGACTATGCATGTCTTAACTCATTTTGTATGAAAGAGAAAAGCCTGTGGAAAGAGCCTGGCTCTGGCTTCATGCAAGATCTGGATGCATTATCCATATTCTTCCTTTTATTCATCATTTTAAGAAGTGAACAGAAGTCACAATAGCTAACTGAAGCAATAGGAGGAAATTAGCTGCTCAGGGTCGTATGCTTCTGAATCAGTCTGCAATAGTTCTTATCATCATGATTTTATTTATTTATTTGAAAATTCATTTTTCAAATCAATAGCTGGATCTTGGGATTTGAACACATGAATGAAACTGTCTACAATCATTATTCTTTCTTACCAGTTATGTTGCTCTCTTGGCCATTTGTTAGTGTGTGGTTCTGGTGATAACAAATTTTATGTTCTATCAATAACTATAATTAAAGGCAAATTTCAGCACTCAAGTCCACTGTGCTCTTATAATAGTGATGTTTTTATAGATTTGCAATATTCTTCTTTTCAACTGAAACATGAGGATGGGGAGATCATTACAGGATGAAAGACATACATTTAGAAATAACAAATAAAAACTTTTAGAGTGTTAACACCAGCATATATATTCAATACGTTCCTAAGTTATTTCATTTTAACCTGAAAATAAAGGAAAAAGAAAACTAACAAGTTTTAGTTTCTTTGGAATGGAAGGAAAATAAAGTAGGACAGAAGGAAAGAAGGAAGGAAAGATAAAAGAAAGAGAAAAGCGACAAAAGAAAGAAGGAAAAAGGAATTAAGAAATCAAAGAAAAAGGAAGGAGAAGGAAAGGAGAAAGGAAGAAAAAAGAAAGGAAGAAAAGAGAAAAAAACATTAAAAATAAAAAAAAATATGTGCATCCACAAACCGTTGCCAAATGGGCACTTATTAAAGATCATGTTATTATCTGGGCCCCACATACATTATTTCTTAACTTGCATATTCATTGGTGTTGTTAATAAATTTTTCATTAAAATCTTACCAGAGTTCAGTTCCATGAGTATCGGGAAAGCAGCGATGTCTGATTCTTTACAGATAAAAGTCTTTCCGGTGTTTGGTTCAGACATCGTGCTTGTATCCAGTGTGTCCTTCTCCATCTGAAAGTCTGAGGAAGAGACACCCTCGTGGTCAGGGTGGGGAGTGCTCTTCCTGCTGCTCATGTGCTGCCTCCAACCCTGCTCAGCAAAGTTCCCTCCTTGTTTACCAAATGGAATTTAAGGAGGTTTCACAGAGAGGGCCAGAGCATGTGCAGTTGCTTTTGCCCTCCCAGGACTTGGAAATTTTCCATCAGCAGAATTTTCTGCAGTTTGTGTTGCGTGTAAGTGTGTGTGTGTGTGTGTGTGTGTGTTTACCTGTTCAAGGTTATAAGACTTCACTTTCCTAAACAATCTGAGATTTTTCTTTTCTTCTGTTTTTAAACCCGCCTTTCAGATTCTAAAACCCTGTCTTTATGGAGATATCAATAGTGCCTATTTGTAGAACCGAGGAAAAATATTTGTGATCTCTTAAATGACAAGAAATCATCAGTTGGCCAGCGGTTTAATTCAGTGGCACAAACACTTGTTTTGCAAGCACAAGGTCATGTGTTCAATCCCCAGTTTAAAAAAAATAGTGAAAAAGGAAAGCATCCATTAACCCATCAGGAAAATATGAATTTTGTGGGGGAATAGTGTAACAAGAATTGCTTATTAAAGAAAAAAAATTTGTATAAAAGTGGACAATGAGTCATTCATTAATTGAAATGCTTTTTTTCCTCAAGAAGTAATCTTAAAGAATTTATGTCTTTAAAATTAAAGACACAGTTTCTGGAGATTAAAGAGACTTTTTCTTCAATTTATCCAGAAGATGACATGCCAGTTCTGCTTACTTGAAGAAAAATTTGGGCTCAGTGCTTTAAACCTTTTAAGAAAGAGCCCAAAACAGTAAAGTTGAAATAGTCATTTAAAATTTAGTATTCTGAAAGAGAAACTCTTATCCAGGCTTCCCCATTTTGGAAGGAGAACTCCCATCGCCAAACTTGGCACCAGAACCATATTCCCAATAGTTTATTGGGCATCCTGTGAGGCTAAGTTATACCTAAATTTTAATATGCTGATTTCCTGACTTTCATCCTTCCCCTTCTCTAAGTTTGTCTCTCCACAGATCATCTGACCTTCCAATTTGGTCAAGTTATGATTAAGCTCAATTTCATTTTTGTGACCTTTTCTCTTACATTTGATGAAAGGCTGCTATAAGAATCCAAATATTTGAGGCCCAGATACAGGGCTTTGGCCAGGACACAGGAAAAGGAATGAATCAAGTAAATTGCTATTTTATGCAACCTTTAAACATTCCCTACTTTTGTCTCTATTCACACTTGATAGATAAATATAGAATTAAAGTGCTTTTTTAGAAAAGATAAAATCCCAAAGTCCATCACTTCTATAACTATAGAACTGAGTAACATTATCCTCTTAATTAAATTATAAAAGAATCACATGTTTGCAGATACAGTCCAAGGAGTCCTCTAAAGAGGAGACAGGGACCTCCAATCACCCCATTCAACAGCAGGTTCCTGGTTCACTGACCTTCACCAAAGAAAAGAATTTCAGGACATGTAAGGGAGACACATTAAAGAGGTCATTAAGCAGAAAGAAGGGTGTATTCAGAAGACAATGCAGTTGCTCACTGCGAGGAATTTATTATTGTCTGAGAATGGGGCTTTACATGGTATTGGGGTGTCCTCAGGATGGGTGATCAAGGATGGTATCAATTACCAGCTGTCAGGCTACTCATGCGTGTGGATTATGTTGTGATGGAAACCATAGGAATATGTTTGAAGCTTACAGATATTCTGCTGTCATAACAGCAGAATCTGATTGCTTGGGGCTGGAGCTCAGTGGGATGAAAAGTGCAGGCTCCATTTCCAGATGAAAACCAGGGACCAAGTTTACAATCTTCTTGTATCTTTAAGACTTTGCAGAATTTATTTAAGGAGTGAATTTCCTGGAATGAAAAAAGGTATTGTAACCTTGGACTCACTTTGTGACCTGAGGATTCAAGTTTTGTTAAAAATATAATATTTAAATGGAAATTGTTCTTATCTTCTTCCTTTATGTCTTGATTTCTTCTACCCTACCTGGACATGATATGAGCACAATCTGACCATGGTAACATTTTCAAATAATCGCCCAGCGGTAACAACCTAGCAATACCTTCTGAACCATGGTATTCATACCAAGCCACACTTCACATTACCTGCTACTCTATCATCTGTATGCCTTGACTTTTTATTGTTTGTTAGCAAATCAGTACAGTCATCATGGAAACCACATGACAGTTCTTCACTAACTTAGAAAGAGAGCTGTCTTATGATCCAGCAATTTCACTTGTAGTTATATATTTAAAGAAATAAAATGAGTATAGTGAAGTGATATTTGTACTACCTGCTTTTAGCACTATAAACAAGTGAGTCATTGTGTTGATGCCTTACTCCATTTTATTGGATAATTGTATCAAAAGCCAAAAAAGCATTAGAGAATTTCTAGGTTTTTCTAGTATTCATTAGAACATATTTGCTGCACAGTATAATGAATTTAACTGTGAAATTTTTATACATGCACACAGCATGCTATGATAATATAGTCCCTGCCACTATTCTCTGTGTTTTCCTTTTTTTCCTCCCTTTCCTCTTCTTTAATTGGTTACACAATACTTCAATGTCATAATTTTTAGTCATTACTTTTAAAGTTACATTTTAGTCAAAACATATAATGTATTGTCCAAATTAATACTTTTACTTATAAGCCACATAATAAATGTTTCAAATAAATTTAGAATGAGTTGAAGAACAATCTCTACAAAAAATGTAGCTTATATTCTCTAATTGGAAGGAAAGAGATCCTTTGGAAAATGAATTACCTCAGACTTACATATTATACATCATTAATATTAAATACTCCTCCTGCGAAAGCAAAGGAGCTACATTTTCAAATCAACATCCTGTATGAGGGTGGATTTCATAAAGTACACGATGAATCTGGGAAAACCTAGTACACTTTCTTACTTGCATGTTATAACTGAGTAAAACTCAGTGACATGCACTTAATGGAAATATTTTCAATTAATTATAAAATATTTATTAAGCTGCAACCTCTTTCAACAAGTAATATTGTGAGTACAAATCTTTATTCTAACTTTGCTTCATTTGAATATATATATATGTGTGTGTGTGTGTGTGTGTATGCCTATATGGACAAATTATGATTGTATACATTTATATATTAATATGATGCTATGACATATATTAACAGATGGATAGACAGAACAGAGATGAAAATGTAAAATAATTGTTTTTTCTTAATTGGTACCAGGGATCAAACTCATGAGTGCGCACTTGCAAGGCAGGCGCTTATGCCGCTGAGCTAAATACCCAGCCCCAAAAATACATAATAATTAAATTTATCTGATTAACAAATGCAACACATTACTACTTATTA